AAAATGATACACTGACAAAGTGTAATGTAATAAATGTGTGATGATTTCTGCTGACAATTGATATATTTAGAAACAAAAAGTATGTAATTGTGCTTTTCAGAGGTCCTGCAAATGATTGGTATGAAGCATTGTGTTCATTACTCAGATACAGTAAAAACATAAGAAGTTGGTTTGCCAATAATGTACTTTTTGCACACCCAACACGGTTTGCAGAGTACCTTCTGGAGTCTCCAAGTTCAGAAGTAAGTCATCCCTAATTTAGTTGTACATGTAATGTCACCTATGATTCTTTTATTAGTCCCTGTTTGGACGAAGTCCGAAAACAGGGACTTATAATTCGGTCTTCGTCCGGCCGTCCGTGCGTCCGGCCGGAGTCATATCTCAGAATCCCTTGGACCGATTCCGTTCATTCTTTGCATGTGCCTAGTACTTTATGTGGGACATATGCACATGCAGTGGTTTAGCGATTCGATTCAAAATGGCCGACTGGCAGCCATCTTGTTTTTTGAAAATGTTGTATTTTGGACATGCTTTGTCAGGTTTCATTCAAACTTGGTACATAGATTATACATGTTAGGACACATGTCCATGATGATTTATTTCACAATTGGATCAAAGATGGCCGACTGGCAATCATCTTGTTTTTTGAAAATGTCGTATGTTGGACATGCTTTGTCAGTTTTCATTCAAATTTAGTACAAAGATCATACATGTTAGGATACATGTCCCTGTCCGTCCGTCCGTGCGTGCGTGCGTGCGTGCGTCAGTCATATTTCAGAATCCCGTGGACTGATTCCGTTCATTCTTTGCATGTGCCTAGTAACTTACGTGGGACATATGCACATGCAGTGGTTTAGCGATTCGATGCAAAATGGCCGACTGGCAGCCATCTTGTTGTTTTTTTATGCAGTATCTTGGATGTGCTCTGTCAGTTTTCATTCAAATTTGGCTCATACATGTACTTGATACATGTTAGGATGCATGTCCATGACAATTTGTTTCAAAATCTGGTCAAGGATGGCCGATTGACAGCCATCTGACTTTTTGGCCTCACTACTATATTTCCACAATTTTTGTACCATTTTCACTCGTATTTGGCACATACATAATACATATCAGTGTGTTTCATAATCAGATCAAAGATGGCCGAATAACAGCTGTTTTTATTTTTGGCCATATTACTACTACACGGAACACGTGTTTTTATGTAAATAAACAATCTGTTGTATATGCCACTTGAACCTCAAGTTTCAAGGACACGCTTGCGACAACCCCTCTGCTTTAATATGACGAGCACAAAAAGAACTTAAAAAAACTGGGGACTGTGTCATTTTAAATGACTTGTTATGGTTGAGATGCTTACTTAAACACTACTAAATTGTTCAATATTATTATATTATGTAGGTTAGAAATGTCTTTGCCAAGATTATAGTATTCCTAGCCCACTTCTCGCATACGGATGGGCCTTTCCCCCCACCATTCTCTGGTAAGTATGAAACAGTTCATATGTAAAATGAGTCCTGTCATCTGTAATACCTGCTCTCTTTCATCTGCACATCCTCCTTCAAGTTCAAATCTTTTATAAAAATCTCAAAAGAATAATGCATTTTTTGTGTGTAAGTTTTTGTATATACAGTACAGCTCTCGCGGAAGCTTTGGCTTCACTTCAGCTTCACCTTCGCATCAGCATCGCATCATTATGGCATTGTTATGGCTTCAGCATCGCATCAATGTTGCGACATTAAAAAGTTAGGCGGTTATCGCTTCGCTTCATTGTGGCCTCATTATGGCGACAATGTGGCATCAGCATCACTTCATCAAACAAAGAAGTACAGAACTCATTTCGCCCAACCTCTAGCCCGCTTCCGCTTTTCAATCGCTCGCTTTTGCGACCGCTTGTTGAATTTCTGCTTTATTTTCGACTGTGCAAAAAATTCGGACTACTAACAATTTTCTGGTTTTCATAGATCACGGTTACTACCGGTAGTTTAGTAACCGTGCATAACCGTCAAAAGTTCAAATCCTTTTTTGTTTTAACTATCTATAATTATATGCACGCAATCTGACCCTTTAACCTAGATTTGGCTGGGATTGACTATTTTATTTTAAACAATATTCTGACGTGACGCACTGCTACAAAATGTATTTCAACAGAAGTACGGGTTTCTTTTCCTGACAGTGTTGAGTTTACGATTTGTATAATTATTGTTATTTCCCCCAAGGAGAACACAAACCGAAGGACCATGAAGCTAAATAGAAGTCCCACGCATGGACTAAGTGAAAGAAAATATTTCTAAGGCTAAAATAAAACCTAATATCTCATTGTGTATTTGTCAATTTTGCATATATTTGGTATGACAGTATATTTGTAAATATCTGGAAAAATCTTGTCTTTCGTTAATAATTTCATTTGTTTGAAATGTCTACCGACCGTGTCCCAATAATTTGATTGGAATATCGATCCCCATTGGTTTCTCCAAACGGTCCCGACGTCCATTATTCAACACAATCAGCATTTATTTATCGTAATTCATGGGGATCATGTCCCGTAATTTGCGGGCTGTAAAACCAAATAATTAAAGAAGTACTATTTATTATATATATTTTTTTACCTCGTGAAACTACAACACAGTGTAGAGTTGTCGCGGTGAAACAGTCGCCTTGAAATCGATGGAACTTCAATTATCCATTTCTCGCCTTGAAATAAAATAAAAAAATTTGAAGAGCATCGGGGGATATATTATTAACCAGTCTTACAAATCGCTAACTTTATTTTATTCAAATCCATAAAATTCACACGAGTTTTTCGACATTTGTTGGCAACTTCGTGCTAAAAATGGTTGAAAATGTGGGTGTGGTTCTCTCGCAAAGTCCCGTTGATAATACGGTTCTGTGACCCAGGTCGTGCTCCGATCAGGTGACTTTCAGCAAATCAATGATGTTGTAACAAAGCATATTTGACGCTAATTGAAGGGTTGTCGTACCGTCCAATCTTCAGCGTCGATTCACTGTGCTGTGACAGGCTTCACAATCATGCACTGAAAAACATCGGTATATTTTGACAAACGGCTGGGATTTGACCTCAGTTCAAAACAAGAAAAAAGAAAAAAGAAAAGCTGGGCTGAAATACAA